GTTACCCTACTAGCTTTCTGTATAATTCGTTTCCCTCTCTGTATGATTGACCAGTTTTTCATTGTGTTCCACCAGCAGATCATCCGCGTATGCTATTGCCTGTACTCCGGTGCCCAGGTCGGTCTCCAAAATCTCGTTGTACAGAACATTCCAAAGCAATGGCCCAGTACGGAGCCTTGCGGCACTCCTGCCGTGGTTCTCATAGAGTTACCTCTCGCAATGTTGATGCATCTATCTGTAAAGTAGTTCCTAACCAAATTCTGCAAATAGGAAGATATCCCCAAGTCGCCCAGTAGTCTGACGACAATTTTCCAGCTAGCGCTATTAAAAGCATTTCTTATATCAAGGAAGAAAGCCACCATCCATCTGCTCCTACATATAGATATCTCCTTTTGATCCTGCTTATAGCCTCTACCGCAGATTTTCCTTTCCTAAACCCATACTGCCGGTCGGATATGCCACCCTTCTCCATTATTTCTCTCTCTAGCCTTGTCTTCACAAGAATCTCAAAGACTTTGCCTAAGGTATTTAACAGGCATATAGGTCTGTACGCCCAGGCTCCTCTAATTCCTTTCCTGGTTTAGGGATAAGTATGAGATTTGCCGTTTTCAGATCTCCTGGGAGCTCTTGTCTTCTTAGCAGGTTGTTCTTAATATCCTGTGCCCATTGCACTTTATCCTCAATGATGGTTTTTATTATCTCGGGTTACCACTCTATCCGGTCCAGGCGCTTTTCCTGCTTTGAGCGTTTTGCCTGCTTCCGTCACCTCTTCCCTTATGAATTCAGTCACCGGTGTCTCTAATTGGTAGTGGCATAAATCTTACTTCTTCCTTCTGTGGGAAAAGAGCCTCAGCCAGTTCTTTCCTTCGACTTTCCTCGATCTTAAAGAAGCCTCCTGTCCCTTTGAACTTTTGACAACTATTCGGTAGGCGTTTCCCCAGATATCATTTTCAAGATTTTCGCAAAGTTCTTTCCAACATCTCCTTTTTTCGCCACTTATTTCTCGCACCAGCTCTTTCTTCATGGCTTTTAATCTTTCTACCTCCTCTTCCATCACTCGATGTCTCCCTCTGTCCCTCGTAACTTTTCTTCTTAGCTCCATGTAGCCTCTTCTTATTTCTTCAATCCTCTCCGTCCACCAATAGGGGACGACTGTTTGCTCTCCTTCCCCGCGGACTGCACCTTTCTGTTATATCTTTTATTTTCTCGTATCCCTCTTCGAAGTTTCGGGCCTCACCTTCCATTCCTTGGATTTCCTCTTTAACTCTTCTTTTGTCAAGATAACGACAATTCACTGGAGGCACATTAAAAAACGGAGTCGTAACTAAATAATTTTCACTTATGTCTTCTTTGCACTCGTTTATTCAACTATCACATTTATTTTCTTATAAATTATACAGATTATATTTATAATCAGGATATTACGAGTATATATTACGATCTACTTCAAATATTACTTTTTTGTTGCATTGAATCTAGGTTGAAAGTAAATGTATATCATTTTATTAAACAAGTTGTATAACTAGAGTCACAAAATCAATAATTCAACTTACTTATACAGGTCAAATAATTCTTAAAATCAATGTTTCGTGTGGCACCTTAGCCTAAATGAGTATCCTTGAACTTTACAGCCGTTATATTTGCTAATGTCTTTTATTTGCAAGTTTTCTGGTGTGGTCGCTATTGCCAGTTAAATTTGTATTTATAGTTCTAAGTATCGCTGATTTGCAATGCAGTATTATTTCTTTAAGATAGCTAAGTACAGTTGAAATTTCTACATTATTTTACTGTTCTCGGCGCTTGATAATTTTCGTTTAGTTTTATTCTATTAACGTTTATTAACGGTAAAACAAAATGTACTTGCAAACATTTAATAAATTTTTTTTTATTAACACATCAACCACGCAGAGATTAGGTATGTAACATATGTGACAGTTGATACAATATGTGAATATACATTAGTTTACAATAATAATTATAATAATAATATGTATGTGTGTTTAATATTTTAATATTTTTATGGATCATCTAGAGACAAAGATTTCAAAACATCCCGTATTCAAACAGTTTTAATATTGGTGGAGATACGTAGACGACGTACTGGTATGTTTCACAGGAACTAACAGGCAACTCGACCAATTTTTATCGTATATTAATTCACTTCATAGTCATATTGAATTTACAATAGAAACAGAACAAAATCAATCCATAAATTTTTTAGATTTAAAAATTAGCAGACTTCAAAACAAACATGACTTCTCCATATTTCAGAAACCTACCCATACTGACACGATTATACACAATTCATCATCCCATCCAACACAACATAAACTGGCAGCTTATCATAGTATGTTACATAGATTAACAGAAATTCCGATGTCAAAATACAACTTTGAGACAGAATTAAATATAATTAAGCAAATAGCACTAAACAACGGATACAACGAACAAACAATTAATAAAATGTTAAATCAAAAACTACACAAGAAAGCCCTGAAATTAGTATTTCCACCACCAGAGAAAAAAACCCAGTACCTTCTGCTCGATTACATATACAGGCAAAATAACAACAAAAATTGCCAAACACATAAAAAAGAAAGGAATAACACCAGCTTTCCGAACAAATAACAACCTAGGCAAATATATTAAAATAACAAGAGCCAAAATAAAAAACACTTAAATAGTGGTGTGTACAAACTTCAATGTAGCGACTGCCCAAAAACTTACATCGGTCAAACTGGTAGAAACTTTGATAAACGAATAGCAGAACATAAAAGGGCTTTCAAGAATAGAAAAACAGATTCGACATACGCACTTCACCTTTAGATCATAATTATTCTTTTAATGACAAATTTAAAATTCTTCACATTCAAAATAAAGGCCTTAAGCTATCTTTGTTAGAATCTATGGAAATCAACAAATTAAAAAACACAGATATAATTCTGAATGACCAACTTGAGACAAACAGTTCTCCCCTTCTCAACCTATTTCATTAGAGACTATAAATTTGTAAACCCAAGCCTAAAAATAGATCAGTTGAGAAAGGCAATCAGCCGAAACAGCTGTAGTGATAAGATTTAAAATAAATTTTGTGGAAGTTTGAAAACAAAGTTTTCAGAATTTAGTTGTCTTATACAGTTTCTTGTTTGTCTTAGTCTGTTGTTTATATCTTCTTCTGTTGTTCCCTGGTTCGATATTATGGTTTCTAAATACTTGAATTTATCTGTTCCATTTACTTGTCTTCCTCGTCTATCTCTAGGTTTCTCATATCCTTGTTTTCTGTTGTTAGGTATTGGGTTTTCTCCAAGTTTATTTCCATTCCGTTGTTTTTATATTCTTCTTCTAGTTTTCTGAGCATAAAGCTGATATCTTCTTTATCTTGTGCGATGACTACTTGATCGTCGGCAAAACTTAAGGTGTATAGGTATTCGTCTCTTACTGGTATGCCCATTCCTTCGCACTTTCTCCTCCATGGTTTGAGTGTCTTTTCCAAGAATATTTTAAACAGAGTAGGGGACGTAGCACAGCCTTGTAGAAGTCCTTTTGTCGTCTTAAATAGATTGTAGGCTTTATTTCCACATTTAATAGCTACTTTGTTTTCTTTGTACAGTGCTTTAACTGCTTTTATTAGTGTTTGTCGGATTCCGAGATCATTCATTGCTTCCCATAATTTGACTCTAGGTATTGAGTCGTATGCTTTCTTTAGATCAACAAACGCCAGATGGACCGGTCTACCTTTTGCCATTTTCTTCTCTATCGGTTGTTCTAATGTGTACGTATGATCTAGGCATGATTTTCCTACTGTGAACCCTGCTTGGTCTTCTCCAATTTTTCCTATTATTTCAGTTTAGTTTTCCTTGATAATTTTCCCGTGAAGTCTACCTACCGACGATATTATACTAATTCCTCTGTAGTTTTCACATTTTTTCCTGTTTCCTTTCTTATGTATGGATGTGATATATGCTTGTGTCCATTCCGCAGGTATTTCCTCTCCATTTAGTCCTCTTTCGAACATTCTGTGTAGCATGCGGAATAACTTTTCCGTTCCGTTTTTAATTAGTTCGTTTGGTATCCCTCCGGGTCCTTTGGCTTTTTTGTTCTTCAATGTCTTGATTGCTCTCTTGACTTCTGTCAGACTTATTTCTATCTGGTCGTATGTCCCATTTCCTGCATGTTCTGTATTCTCTTCCTGAAATTGGGGACGGTTTTCTGTAAGTAGTTCTACGTAGTATTCTTGCCACTCGTTTTCACTAATTTTGCCGATCTGGGTTTTCTCTGTCTTATTTCGTTGGAGTGCTTTTAATATTCGCCATGATTCTGAATTTCTCGTTCCTCCGATATGTCGTTCTATCTCTGTGCATGATTGTTCCCATCGTTCGTTCTTTTCATTTGTTACTCTTTTCTTTACCTCTCTGTTTTTCGCTCTATATAGGTCTAAGTCTTCCTGTTTTTTGGTGTTTAGGTATTTTATGGGTAGTTTTTTCTTTTCTTTTATACATTTCAATGTGTCTTCCCTTAATTTGATATTCTGATGGGTGTTCCTTTGGTCGTCTTCTCCAAGAGCTTCTAAGGCCGCTGAAATCAGGCAGGTTTTTATGTGTTCATGCATTTCATCTAACGTGTCATATCTGAATTCTTCTAGTTTTTGGTCTAGTCTTCTTTTGTATAGATCTTTTATTGATTCTTCCTGTAATAGATGTAATTTGAGCCTCTTTTCGTTTATTGTCGTTTCCGTTGTAACAATCGATGTATGTTTTTGTTTTGTCCAGATATAGGGGAAATCCATCCATGCCACCACAAGTTTGTGATCTGTTCCACACTCTGCCCCTCTTTTCACTCTGGTGTCTTTCACTTTGATGGAGCTTTTGTGGTTCATGATAATGTAGTCAATAATGGATCATTCTCTTATATATTCTCTTATATATAACATTCTCTTAATGAGTTTTCACAGCCAGATAAATAATTAATTTTGATATTACCTTTTAATCCTATATTTGCAGGTATCAATGTCATGAGGATTATAAACGAACCAACAGCCGCTGCTCTAGCTTATGGCCTGGATAAAAATCTTAAGGGAGAAAGAAACGTCTTGATTTTCGATTTAGGAGGTGGTACATTCGATGTTTCAATTTTAACTATAGACGAAGGTTCTTTATTTGAAGTTAAATCTACTGCTGGAGACACTCATTTAGGTGGCGAAGATTTTGATAATAGATTGGTGAATTATTTCGCCGATGAATTCAAGAGGAAGTACAAAAAGGATATGTCAAGGAACGCTCGCGCATTAAGACGATTAAGAACTGCTGCAGAAAGGTTGGTATTAAAGTATTTATTGTATTTGTTATTGTGCTTCCGATACTTGACAATCGGGGGTCTACTATATTATTTTACTTTTGATTAGTACTTGAATAAATATTTTTTTATTTAACAGTTAAATATCTTTTAGAGCAAAACGCACTTTGAGCTCAAGTACAGAAGCTTCGTTGGAAATTGACGCCCTCTTCGAAGGAGTTGACTTCTATTCTAAAATTTCACGGGCCAGATTCGAGGAGTTGAATTCAGATCTTTTCAAAAGTACCCTTCAACCAGTGGAAAAAGCCCTTAATGATGCAAATATGTCTAAAAGCCAAATAAACGACGTAGTTCTCGTTGGGGGTTCAACCCGAATTCCAAAAATTCAATCGCTACTACAAAATTATTTTAATGGCAAAACTCTGAACCTAAGTATTAACCCAGATGAAGCAGTAGCCTATGGAGCTGCTGTCCAAGCGGCGATCTTAAGTGGAGATACCAGTTCGAAGATTCAGGACGTATTGCTAGTGGACGTTACACCTCTTTCCCTTGGGATAGAAACTGCGGGTGGTGTTATGTCGAAAATCATTGATAGGAATTCCAGAATACCATGCAAACAGACGCAAACCTTTACTACTTATTCCGATAATCAACCAGCAGTTACTATTCAGGTGTTTGAAGGGGAAAGAGCTATGACGAAGGATAATAATTTATTAGGTAAAAATATATTTCCAGTTTGATCTAATTAACAAGTAAAATTTATTAGCTCTATTAACATTTGCTAAAGTCTACATGTTGTTGCCTTATATCTATTCTATTATGTTTTGTATATCATGATTGAACTTATACTTTAATGATGATACTATTTTTTGCTTTTCATTTTTTTTTCTGTTTATTTGCTTGGGTCAAGCATTCATTATCATCATGATCATTATCATCATCATCATCAACAGCTCCTTTTTTGCATTCATTCGCCACCAGTCATTCGTTTGATGTCATCAGTCTATCCGGTTTGAGGTATGCCTCTACTTTTTTTATTTACCCTTGGTCGCCATTCCACAATTTACTTTGTCCAACAGTTCTCTTCCATTGTTCTTATATATCGTGCCCAGCTCAATTTTAACATGGAAATCTTTGGATTACATCTCTTACTTTTGATCGTCTTCTTATTTCTTCATTGGATTTGCCATCGCTAATGTTGAATATTCTCCGTTCCATAGCTCTCTGAGTTACTTTAAGATTGTGGACTAAGTTGTTGTTAAAAGTCCATGTTTCATGCCCATTTCAAGCAAAATGAGTTACCAATAATATAAATCAATGATTTATTATTATTAAACCTAAGAACAAACATTTAAATAACGTAAACTTGACTCAACCAAATAGTTTTCAAACTCCAATTAAAAGTATAAATATCCTGTTGACATTTTGAGGATCCATCTTTCTTGGGAACTTCCACGACGCTTTCAATGATGTCTACCTTTTCGATTTCATAGTCCTTTATATCAATCAGGCGGAGGTTTTCAGATAAGCGGATCCTCTTTAGGTAATTAACCATTATTGTTGGAGTTAAAGGTACTATTTTAGCAACATAAAATCGTACGTTCCTCTTTCCAATAAGCTTTGTCAGGTAGAATCTACCAGTTTCCAGTGTAAACTGTCTTTCTGTGTCTGGTTTGTTATTTTTAGATATATGGCCTTACCAATCTATGTCTGACTCATGTTCAGAAGACGGATCCGAACTATCATCGTAAGGGATGCTTTCGACGTCGTCGTTGTCAGAAGATGATGAATTGTTGAGATTCTTCAATTGGGGAAATACTGGTCTAGTCTTTTTAATTTTATTGCCTGTTAAATGATGCTTTTTTGGTTGGGTGTACATAACTTTTATTTTCACAGCTGTTTTCTTCATATTTTTGTTCATTCTTTCTTCGTGCTCGTTTTCTATTTCATTTTTCTCAGGTGTGTGCGTTAAGACTCTACACTTGCCCATTTACGACATTTTTGTATGTTTGTTCTTGGAGGTGCCTTCGTTAAAGGTCGGACTACCTCTGGTGACTTGTATGGTAGCTCAGGTTCTTCATTCTCAGCAAGTATTTTATGATTATTAATGAGGGGTCTGAAATAAATGTCTTCACTGATATTAGCAGGATTATCTTTATCAGTGTCCGAAGAACTATAGAACTCGCGTTCTTGAAATAAATTTTCATTCACTGGCCAGATCCTGAAACTCTGAATTCAGATTCAATATTTGTGCGATTAAATGCTAGTTTATATGCCTGAACAGAAATTTCAGAGACATCCTAATAGATATTAGTTTTCCTGGGTTTCTTATCATCCATTCGGTGCACTCGTTGTTATAAGTTTTTATATGGGCCAAAAACACTGCATCGAGGGGTCGGAGCTTATGACTCGTATGAGGTGGAATAGTCAATATTACGATCCATGTTCTTGAGCTATGGTAATATGACTTTCATGATTGTCTTATATTACTAATATTTTATCATCGACGGAAGGCTTTGTGATATGTATAAAATGCCTTAAATATTCTAAGAATATGACTCCATTGGACCAACCACTAGGATGAGTCGTTCCCACCGAATCAGCAGGTGCACCTTTCAGCATATAGGGCTTAAAATTCACTCTGGGAAATATGTACATAGGGGGACAGCATCCCGTGAAGCATTTATAGCAGCGATAAATGTTACATTAGTACCCCTTTCTCCAGTTGTAGCGGAACCAACTTGTTAAATACCCTTGCAAGCTACAATTTTTCCAGGAACGTGAACATTAGTGTTAATACTCTCATCAATATTGTATACTTTGTATTGTATACTGGGTGTAAAAGTATGCTTATTCATGACTTCTTTTAATTTTCTAAACATAATGAGACATTGTGTTTGTTGAAGCTGGTTCCGCGAGATAGGCTAGTGGATTGTGGCTTTCTTAACTAAGTTGCTTATGGCGACTCATAAAGTCAAGGAACCATTGTTTTCCGGCACAATAATTGTCATTCCAGGACGGTCGTCTATTTGTATTATATTATATTTATGACTCATAATACTCTAGGTGTTTGCTGTCAGGGTTCTAGATATCGAAGTCATTTTTCTAGACAGAATTGACAGAAATCTTCTGCTTTTACCTCTATATTCTATACTGGTCAAATCAAATGCATATTAGTTTATAATATACTTACTAACATCATAGCAGTATGTCAACTGTGTGGTAGTAGGTCGGCTTTAAGTATGATCGAGTGTACTTTGCATTACTTCTTCTTCTTCCTTCTAGTATGTAGGCTTTAAAGCTGTTTCTTCTTCAATATTAGCCTCCTAAATTGTTTAAATTGTCGCACATCTTTTTCTTGGTCTGCCAATAATTCTTCGTCCATTTGGTGACTTTCTCTTTTCGTTTTGTCACCCATCGATTTATGTCTTCTATATTGCATGCTCTTCTTATGTTTTCGCTTCTCTCCCTATCCAACAGACTTCTCCCTGATATTCGTCGGAGTATTTTCATCTCTTTGTTTCTAGCAGTCGTCTCGTTTTAGATGTGTCAGGTCTTGTCCACGTTTGGACATAGGCTCTCCAACTCCTTCCATCGGTCTCTATCCTGAGCAACATATTTCCAATTTGTTCTGGCATCAACCCATCTCATCTGTGGTCTTCCTCTTGGTCGTTTACTTTCGTAAGGTCTCCAATGTTGTATTGTAGTATTCCAGCGTTGGTCTTTCTGTCTAGCAGTGTGGCCCACGAAGCTCCATTTAAGTTTTGCAATTTTTATTGTTATGTCCTCGACTTTTGCTTTGGATCTTACCCAGTCGTTCCTCTTTTTATCTGACAGTCATATAGCTAACATTGCTCTTTCCATTGTTCTTTCTGTTGTGGCTAGTTTATTCATGTTTGCCTTGGTTAGGGTCTAGTTTTGACATCCGCATGTCATGATAGGAAGGATGCATTGGTTGAACACTTTGCTCCTCAAGTATTGGGGTATTTTGCGGTTCTTCAGTATCCAACTAAGTTTTCCAAATCCTGCCCATGCTAGTCTTGTTCTTCTAGTAATTTCCGCACTTTGGTTCTCTTTGTCAAGTCTCAGGATTTGACCTAGGTAGATATATTCCTGAATTTGTTCTATCTCACTGCCGTTTATAGTTATATGTCTGGGGGTCTTCTGTGTTTGTCATTATTTTTGTTTTTTTCTATTCATTTGCTCTCGGAATTGCTCTTCATTTGTTCTTAGTTTAAAGGCATCTATCCTCGTTGTTTTTTTTAATCCTTTTTTCTCTCTTCTTTCATGTTAATATTTATTTTTGCTCTGACTATATGATGGTCACTGCCCGTTGTTACGTTGTTTATTGTTGTGGCGTCTTCAAATATTCCTTTGTTGTTTGAGAGAAAATAGTCTATTTCATTTTTGTTAGTTCCGTTAGGTGCAGATTGTGTCATTAAGAGAACCCGCCGCTTTACTTGCTTTTAAGCTTTGTTGTCGTACTTCTTCTTCAACTTTGCATTACATATAAATAAAGGTATATAAAAAACCCGTCTCTATTCTTGTATCTGTAGATCTTTTCTTGTATTACTTTTTATGAATAATAATTTAGATAAAGTCATATTTTAATTTCAGGTACATTTGATTTGACTGGCATCCACCAGCACCACGTGGTGTACCAAAAATCGACGTCACGTTTGATTTGGACGCAAATGGTATTCTAAATGTGTCAGCCTTAGAGAGTAGCACTGGAAAGTCGAAAAAAATAACCATCAAAAACGATAAAGGAAGGTTGTCCCAAAAAGATATAGAACGCATGCTACGTGAAGCAGAAGAATATAAAGACGAAGACGATCGCCAAAGAGAAAGAATAGCGTCGCGTAATTCGCTGGAAAGTTACGTTTATAATGTAAAACAAGCAATAGACGACGCAGGAAATAAATTAAGCAGCGAGGACAAAAGGAAAGCACAAAATGAATGCGAAAATTGTATGAGGTGAGTATTTAGAGCATTTAAAGGAACTAAATCATAACTAAGTCTCCTATTTCATGCTGTAAGTACTAAATGGTATTTTGTTGTGTATGAACTCACAGACTCTATCTATTAAAAGTAATATGTTTGTATATCTTATGATCTAAGTTTCAAGATTTTACTTAGTTCTCTTCTTCTACTTTATTATATTCTTATGCTTAGGGGAGGGTGGTTCACAGTGAGACAAAAATCATATTTCTTCAAATAGAACTCGGAAATTTCAAAAATTCAATTTAATTCCTTAACTACGGTTTAGATGTCTATTTAAGCCAACAATACAATAGATTAAATCTGAAAAAAAAACTAACACAAGTTGTGAACAAGCGTTTATTTTTTTCATGAAAACTATCTCACTCTGTACCTCATGTTAGGCACAGGGAGACAGTATGCAGTACACAGTGAGACATGGGTATTTTAGTTTCCTTATCGAACATCGAGTCCCGAAAATTTTATACAAAATTGAAAAGTGTTGTTGTTGTATACCAAATAACGACGTTGTTGGAAAAGGCTTTGAGCAATAAACATACCGACTTAAAAAAGTTGATGTCAACAATGAGCACAGTTTCGGATAAAATCGACCATAGTGGTCGACACTTTCAGTGCCTCAGGTTCACCTATGTTTATTTTATAGAATAAATCGGATGAAAGAAGGTTTGGACAAAAACGGTCCTATTGGGACAATATACAGATGTTTCAAATCAGGGTATATAACGAAACAACTTTTCTTGGAATGGTTGAAACATTTTTAGCGGCATGGCAATGCTTCTAAAGACCATCCAGTTCTTTTAGTGCTAGATAACCACAAAACGCATTCAAGTCTGTCTTCCTATAATTTTTGTCACGACATCGGAATAAATCTCCTTTCACTGCCACCGCACACCTCCCACCATCTTCAGCATCTAGATAACACGTTTTTTCTTCATTCAAGATAGCTTACTACCAAGAATATGACAAGTATATAAAACAAAAAAATATGAAAAAATTAATAAAACAGATGTTGCAAAACTTAAAAATGCCTTTAACAGGGCTGCGTCTGTTGAGAAAGCTGTAAAAGGTTTTCAAACCACAGGAATTTTCCCAAAAACATTAAAAGAACAATTAGAAAATAAGGAACAAAAAAAAGCAAAAGAAGAATGAGGTTGAGAAAGTTAAACGAACAATTGGAGCTACTAAGATAAAAACAGAAAATTTAGTCAAGAGGACTTATGGCGTGAAAACACATCAAATACGAGAAAGCGAACTATGTGCAGTATTTTCGGAGTTTGTATCAAATGAATTATGGTGGAAATGTCGTCTCTGCTGTCTCTGGGCTCATGCAGACTGCACGGAAGCGGATACTGCTACTCTTTATATTTGCTCAAACTGTAAAGAAATATGTATTTTATACTTAAACCTAAGTAAACTTAACCATTGAACTTATCCATCTGTGATCGATATTTCCCATCCTTGAATGATATTACCACCATTGTCGATATTACTCGATTGATCGATATTACCCGAATTTTTTGAGTTTCAAAAATATGTATTTTTAAAATATTTGTAATTATTTTATAATATTTTTGAAGCGGTAATTGGGTAACTAAATAAACTAAATGTCCATATTCATCATCATTTAACCCAGATCTATCCACTGCTGGATATAGGTCTCCCTTAGTCTTTTCTATGTATTTCTGTTTTGTGCTGTTTGCATCCAATTTTTGTCGATCCGTTTTATGTCATCAGACCATCTTGTTGGTGGACGACCTCTACTTCGATGTGCTTCTTGTCTCGGTCTCCACTGTATTATTCGCTGTGTCCATCTGTTATCCGACATTCTAGCTATGTGCCCGCCCAGTTCCACTTAAGGGTCGTAATTCTTTCTATGGCATCTGTCACTCCTGTTCTCCATCTTATTTCTTTGTTCGTTATCCGATCCCTACGAGAAATGCCTAGCATCGATCGTTCCATGGCTCTTTGGGTAACACAAATTGTATTTCTTATTTTCTTGGTTAGTGTTAATGTCTCTGCACCATATGTAAGTACTGGCAACACGCACTGATTAAAGACTTTTCTTTTAAGATACATAGGCAGTTCTGATTTAAGACCATAGCTCAGCTTGCCGAATGCCACCAAGTGAGTCCTATGCGGCGGCTTAGTTCGCACGTTTGATTATCTCTTCCTATGCGTATTTCATGTCCTAAGTACTTATAAGAGGTGGTTTCTTCAATATGCTTGCCATTTACTGAAATCTTTTCGCTTAACACATTTGTGTTTTTGTGTGGTTGATTTTTAATCCAACTTGTAGGGAGGCTTGGTATAGTTTCTCCAGTTGCGATACTGCATCATCGATTCTGTCAGCAAAAGGACAATATCGTCAGCAAACCTCAAATGACTAAGCATTTCTCCATTGACATTAATTCCTTTTTCACTCAGATTTGCGTTCTTAAACATATGCTCTAATATGTAAACAATTTTGGCGAAATTGTGTCTCCTGTCGCACTCCCCGTTTTATTTTAAATACGTTGGTCTTTTTATCTGCCAGTTTCACGCTTGCTGTCCCATTTTGATAGATGTATTTTATCATGTTTATATAGCGATGATCTATACGTCACTCTGTTAAGGCTTTTAACATCTTTTGATGACTTATTGTGTCGAAAGCTTTTTTCTAGTCAACAGATATTATGACTAATGGCTTGTTATATAAATGTCCATATTATAAGTTTCAAATTCGTAAAAGCTATAGCAAACATTCTATACTAACAGTTTTGTCTTAAGTAGTCGATATTCCCCCACCTTCCCCTAGAAGTTGAAAAACTTTATTGCATCTTTTTGAGGTTCCAAATTGACATTTTGAGCAAAATTCAGCTTGTTCGTATAATTTTTAGAGGTTCAATGGCATTTTTGTATCAAACGGCTGGAGTACTTCCATGTATTATGTTTGAGAAAACTTAATTTTGAGGCCTACTCATGCATAAACTTTATGTATTAATCATGAAATAGGGCGCATGTATCTTTGTTTAAAAAAATGGTTCAAATTAAGAGCATGTTTTAGGTATTATTCACGTGTTTGGGCGAAAGTCATCAATTAATTTAGTTTTTTCATATTTATCCATTCATTTGCCAACTGTTTAAAAATTAGAATTATTTTTGTAGATGGTTGGACAACAATTTTACTGCCGAAAAAGACGAATATGATTATAAACTAAAAGAAGTGACTCGAGTTTGTGGACCCATAATGACGAAGTTGCATCGCGGTGGACAAAATGGTCATTATAATAATAATTCTTCCGGTGGAGATCAAGATGGCCCTACAATTGAAGAAGTTGATTAACCAACTAGCTAAGATTAGAGTTTATGTTGCAAAACAGTATTCCGTAGATTGAGCTTCCTAAAGTAATTCCACACAAAAAATTAATAGTACTGTTACACTCATTAGAATAAAATGCAATAAAAATGTATTTATTAAAGTTTACCAAGTAAACGTTGTTTGTTTTATGATTTAATGTTGTTAACCCTTCGTTTGGCAATGTATCCAAGAGGATACACTATTTTGATTTTTTTAACCATTGTACAATTGAATTGGCAAAATTATAGTGAAGTGGACGCCAGCTCAAGGTAAGTTTATTTTTTTTATTAAACTAATCTTGCATGTTTTTAAATAATGGTTTTTAAATGGTTGTTTACTTAAACCCTTTCCTTTTAGTGATAAATATTGAGCAATAAGAGATAATTTATTGATTCATAAAAAAATTACTGTATACAAATGGATAGGAAAAGTATATACGTCTTAGAAGAGAGGAAAAACGTATCAATCGATGTAAGAGGAGGGAATATGAACAGAACACTCTCAGTGAGATATAAAGTTTATTCGATAATGAAACAAGGAGATACTACAAATCCTTAAATAATAGCCGTCGAGAATTTAAACCATGATAAAAAAATTTGTAAAGACACTAACGGTGACACTAACTACATGATAAAAACTCAGTTCTTAACAGATGGGCACTACATTTCAGCCAACATATAAATATAAACGATATTGAAGCAGGTTACAACATAGACAATAACAAATCTACAACGTCCACTACACAATAAGACCCAATAAGAGAAGAAGTGCCAAATACCATCCTAAAACTCGAAAAACAATAAAGCCCCAAGAATCGATGAAATCTATTCGGGAATGTATAAAAAAGGTGGTGATCAACTTTTTGCAGCAATCCATAAACTAACAGTACTTATATGGCATAGTGAATTGGTACCAGAAGAGTGGCTAAAATAATATGCCCGTTGCCTAAAAAGTGTGATCAACTGGAGTGTAAAAACTATAGAGGCATTACTCTGTTAGTATCTGGGTATAAAATCTTCGGCAATGTATTATTTGAAAGACTTAATTTTACAAAGGATATTGTTGGTCAATATCAATGTCGATTTACTGTAGGAAAGTCAACTACACATCAAATTCACTAGAATATCACTAGAATATAACATAGATACACCATCTCTTCGTCGACTTCAAAGCAACCTATGACAGCGTGAAAAGAACTGCATTATATACTGCAATGATATACTTTGGAAAACTAAGTTAGTTAAGTTGACCCAACTTACAATGCAAAACGTAGGAGACAAAACGAAGGAGAAAACTCTACGTTCTTTGACATTAATAATGAGCTAAGTAGAGTAAGTAGTAAGAAGGAAATATTAATAATATTATCTTCTTCATGTACCATGTCCTTTCAGAACGTTGGTTACCATCATAGCTATCTTAATTTTATTCACTGCCACCCTAAATAGCATGCTTCTATCAACACCATACCAATCTCGCAAGTTCTTCAACCATGAGGTTCTTCTTCATCCTGGACCTCGTTTGACTGCTATTTTTCCTTGCATGATATTTTGTAGTAACCTATATTTGGGACCTCTCATTACATGTCCGAAATACTCCAGCTTTCTCTGCTGGATGCTTTTTATGATATAATATAACATTGCCTTGAAAAAAGCAATCAGATAATTAAATATTTTCTGTTAGCAGAGAAACATTGTGAAAGCCCATGGTAGAAATGGGAGTACCTGGAAAGCTGGTACGATTAGCACAGGTGAGCACAGAAAACGCTTCCGCACGGATCAGAATTGGTAGCACCACGTCGTAGGAATTCCTCATTAACACCGGGCAAGGACAAGGAGATCCTCGCCCCCTGCTATTTAATTTTTCACTGGAACATGCGGTAAGGAAAGCTCAACCACAACTGACAAACGGATTTGCCGCCCAAGGATCAAAAATACTATTGGCGTTTGCGGATGACATGGACACAATTGTACAATCCCCCAGAGATGCAAAAGAAGTTTTCACCCTATTCAAAAACGGAGTCAAGGAAGTTGGTCTAAAGGTCAACGAGGACAAGACCAAGTACATGGGGGTTACGAAAAACCCAAGGCCAAGGGTTAGACAAAACGTGACAATTAATGAATACAACTTTGAAGCCGTCAAAGAATTCAAGTACCTGGGAGCGATCAGAACATCTAAAAATAAATATGAAAAAGACGTGGCAGCCAGGATCATTGCAGGAAACAGGACATATTACTCAATAATGACCATACTTAAATCAAAAATACTCTCAATACCAGCAAAAATAAAAGTGCATAAGACAATAATTCGTCCCACAATAACGTATGGAAGCGAGACATGGACTCTGAACCAGCTGGAAACGACAAAGTTACTGGTACTGGAAAGAAAGATACTGCGGACTATCTATGGGCCTTGAAGAGAAGAGACAACAGGAGAATGGGACAGAAGACACAATGATGAACTCCAGACAGTGTATGGAGATGAAAACATAGTACGGTACATAAAGCAAACCGAATAATATGGGCGGGCCACGTGCTAAGATCGAGTGACGAAAGACTCCTAACCAGAAGGTCAGTTGGTCGCCCAAGAAAGAGATGGAAGGACGCAGTAGCCAGTGATCTACGCAAAATGGGAATACATCAATGGGAAATAGCTGCTCAGGATCGACAATGGAGGGAAATAGTAAACGCGGGCAAGACTCACATAGAGTTGTAGAGCCAAACGATGATGATGGTGACTTTTGAGTAAGTCAAATAATTCACATATCTTGAAAAGCTAGTAAACGCAATAACACAACAGGCGATGAAATAAAAGACGCATAGCAATAGCAAATAGAACTGTTCACGGTCTCCAGAAACATTTAAAAAATAAATGTATAAAACGTGCAGTAGGGCTCAATATATACAATACTTTAATAAGACCGGTTTGATATATGGGGCTGAAACGTGGATCTTAACTTAAAATGAAAGGTTTCTTGGTAATTTTAAAGAAAAATTCTTAAAAATATTTTTGGGGCCGTTAAATGAAAATGAGATCCAGATATTGTGAAATTCGGTAAAGTGCAGAGACTTAGATGGGCTGGACAAATTGCTAGGATGTCAGATCACGAATACACGAAGAGATTAATCATGTTCAAAACCAGAGGGCACAGGAAGAAGAGTACGACCACGAACGAGATGGATTGATGATGTGAAAGAAGACCTGCAGATTCTAAGGGTCAGAAGATGGAGGGAAGTTGCCAAGAATCGACAGAAGTGGCGATCTTTGTGATCACGCCAAGATCCACAACGGATTGTCGAGTCACTTATGATGATGATGATACAAATGGATACTTTGTCTTGTTGCCATAGATAGAAGGACCTTTTACTATGTATCCAGATGGACACTTGTCTCGATATTCAGATTTCGTTTAATATCTCGTTACTGCATCCGTACGACTTTATTATTAATCTAAGGTCATAATTTTGCAGTACTAAACAATGGTGTACATAAAACTGCAGAGCTTACATGTAAAATACCTGTCCATACACTCATTAGGGAGGTCAAGCAGACTAAAGACATCTTACGTGAAAAGTTAAAAGAGCTGAGTAGGAACGAAATTTTCGATTACGAATTTGTGAAATTTGTGGTACAAATTCGTAATCGAAAAATTCACATAAAAATACATAAAAATCAGGAAACATCCTTTGTCCTTAGACTAATATGGTAAAAGCAATAATTGTGTAAAAATTAAAAAAAAAATTAGTAAAAGTTATAAAAGAAACATATATTAAGAATGTATTTTTAATAGACCATCCTATATTTTCTTCTTCGCCTAAATAACAAAAGAAAATCGCCAATAAAGGGTTTATTTTAAACCTTTAATAAAGACTGTTGCAGTTTATAGTTATGTTCTTATTTTTTTTTTTTTAATAAATAATGTAACAGATTTGAAAGTTTGCTTAACTTTCTTGCATTGAATAACAGTTTTAATGAGTAGTGTGTCAGTGTGCTCGGTTTTAATTTGAACATATTTATTCTTCACTGCAAATCATTATTTTTTATTTTTTCCAATATTTGAAATGTTTCAAATTTTTATATTTGTTTGTGGATTTTCTTGTCATGCAAAGGATTTTTAAAAGAAAAATTTATTTACTGTTTAAAGTACTTACCTGCTTTTTATCAGGTTTTAACTTATCCTTAATTTTCTTTGATATATTAGACCGTTTCTTTCCTTTTTTTATTTTTCTTTTTGTTGGCTTTTCACACATTTTTAACCCCACAACTCAAAATGTATACACCACTATAGTATTAACAAATTTTATCGGTTTCAAGTATCATTGAATAACATTGACTTAAAGTAACATTATACATAGAATTGAACGCCCATCAATGTAAAAAACCAGACGGTATGAGAATTTATTTTTTTTTAAATAAAAATACAAATACAGATGTATATTTACGATTCTAATTTTTATTTGTTAAATAAAGTTTAGCACAGAATTATATTCAAAAATTATGATAAAACAAATAAACATATAAAACTAAACATAAATATATAAGTTACAAAATAAAAATTGTTTTTTTCGCATTATCTCCTAAAATACTAGACATTTTGTAATAAAAATAGACACGTTACTTTCTTGTTCTGAAAGCAACAACAAAATCTAAGCGCACAGAAAAATTTTAAGGGAGGTGTGCAGCTCCAAATCCCCCAAACTTTTGACTACGTTCAAATCAAATGAATTTTGTGGCATCATTAGTTTAACACATTATTTTTAAAACATTTTTGCCTCTTATCACTTTTTCGAAAAACTAGTGTTTTCCTAGTTGGCTATAAAATTACAATTAGTTTCTACGGATACAATAATTACAAATAGTTCCAATAATAGTCAATAATTTGAAGCTATCATTTATTGTGTGAATAAGAATAATATTAAAAATTTTGATATTACAATGTCCTACACATTTCAAAAAATGACACCAATGCATTTTACTTTTGGTAAGTTGGATCAGAATTAATTATGTTTTCAATAAACTATCGGGAGTATCGTAAGTGAATGTAAAGGAAATAGTGCAGCAGCCGCAAGGCGTTAAGCAGTAAAATACCCCAATCAAAATACACTCGATAGACGATTATTTCTGACCATTGATCGTC